GCACTTTCAGAGCCTGCAGCACGTGCATGTCGTGTTTGTTTTTTTTTCCCTTCCTAGTAGTAGTAGTAGTAGTAGTAGTAGTGGTAACAAAAATGGTAAGAATGGTAGGGGCCAGGCAATTTTTGGATTCCTGAGCTAGTCTCGGCCCTGGGAAAGGTACGAGTGGGATGGCGAGGATGGTCAGGCTGAGCCTCCGGATGCCAAGGCCGCTGAAGTCTGACAGATCCTGGTTGCCTGGTCGCCTAAGCCTTTGGGAATGGGTAGAAATGGATTCCCAAAGTAGCGCCTGAAAAAACTCCATGACACTCCCTATGACCCATTTCCCCATTACCAACAAAGCGTTCATTAGCAGATTCTGGGCCTCGCTTTCGATTCAAGCTGCCAGGCAGTGGAAGAGATTCCAGCCCCACCCAGGGCTGATGGCCCCCTGGCAAGCCAGCTGACAGTGGAACCGATTAATCTTGTTTTTTAGAATACAACGACCCTGCCATCCTCTTTGAATCCCCATACGCCCCCAGGTTCTTTAGGGGTCACTCGTATGATGCTTGTAGTGGTTTGTGTTCCGACGTGCTGATTGGGGACTAGATTAGAGCTTCTCCGTTTGGAGGTCTTGACCTTGTTAAAGCTGAATCATGTTGAATTGAATCGGAACCCTTCCATCCTGCAGCCAAGGCATGGATGCATGCTTCAGTGATGCCTGGTACCAAGCACCAGAGTGTCAAAGACGCAAACACCTGCAGTTCTGGTCGTTCGTCAAAACAGTGCCCATACGGCCCCCTAGAATGTTGGGGCGGCTTATTCAGGATCAGGGCAATGACTGTGAGGCCCCCTATGATGTGTCTTGATTTTAGGGCCCTAAAAATGTAGGAAGGATTCACAACTCACCCTCTTAGATTAATCCACAGGGACCTCAGAACCGTGGGAGGCCGAGGGCCCTCACTGATCTTATTGAGGGTGCTTAACTTGAAGATTGTTACAGGGGGCCCCAACATTAAAGAGAGTCCAACATTAAGTGCTTGTGCCAACTGAACTGTTGACACCCCTGTTCGTGTCCATAACTTGCAAGCCATGCCAGTCAGTCTTAATCACGCGAGAGTGGCTTCTGGGATTGCCACTCCGGATGACTTCAATACACTGGTTTGCTTAGATTGGTGTGCGGCACTGTGCGGGCCCCTCCTTTGGATTTCTAGTACAACGTGGGACCCTCCTACAAACTTCTTCCCAAACTCTTGAACCCCAAACCTGCAACTCAGGAAATTCTAGGAGCGGTCGATCCGGACCCGGCAAGGGTCTCAGACAGACGTTTGGAAACTGGCACAGGCTTCTTGCAATTACACTCCCCAACTTTAAATGAACGACTGGGGAACATCTGGATGTTTCAGAGTCGTGTTTATGGAATTCTTACTACGGACCCCTCTCTCTGTTCGCCTTCAGGATCCCAAAGTTCAAAAACGGTGCCCTGCATTTTGGGAGACCCTCATAGGGGGAGAGCAGGCGTGCTTGGACGTCATCAAACGACCCTCTGGGTCCCGGGCTCCTTCCTGCGACCTACGCCCTAAACCCTAAAGCAAAACCCCAAGCCCCAAGCCCATAGCCGTAACCCCAAGACCATGGCTTTCAGGAACCTTCAGCCCTTGGAGCTGCACGGCTGAGCCAGGCGTTCCGTGGGACAACGCGGGCATTTCCAGAATGTGGGTTCCCCCTTACATTCGACAAAACAATACAATAATGCAAGATGCAAAGCCAGAGCAGTCTCAAAGACTGAGCAGAAGTAGTAGGTGCCCTCCTAGACTCAAGGATGCATCAGGATGGTTAGATTTCGTCAGTCGGGGTACTTGCCCTCACAGGATGATCTCTTCGAGAAGATAAAAGCTGAGATGGGTGACACCTTCGCCGAAAGCTCAGACACAAGGCTTAGCTGCGATCACGCGGGTGTCTTCTCTTTGAAGGCAGCGGAGAATGATGTCTCTTCTTTTTCGGTACAAGTTGCCACTGACTGAATCGAGAGGTCTCTTATCTTTCTGCCTCGCTGCCAGCCTCTCTACTCAAGAAGTGCGCTGGATGGCCGCGAGTCATGTAGGCCTTGGTGTCCAACATATGCCATATGCCTGCGATAGCGGATCGCACGAAACCTAGTAGGTTTTTTGTGGGTTTACAGTATAGTTAGCAGCTTCGGCTGTGTGCTTAGCTCTCTCGTCGGCTACATAGAGATAGATGCAGAATGGTTGCAAGGACTAAGGGGAATGTCAAGCTGAAGTGCGATTACATTGACCACAGACTTCTGCAACTAAAAAACGTGACTTTGTCCATACTTCCTTTGCCTCAATGCCTGGCTGCTGGCACAGGTACCCAGGCGTTGAACTTCTCGGATGTCTGCAGATGCTGCTCCAGGAGTGTGGAATTTTCTGCAAACACGGGGCCTCTAGAGATCTTTAAGAATTTCTGACGGATTTCGGCATTCTGGAACAGGCATCGCAGTTGCAGAAAGCAGCAGCGAGGCAAGCTTAGACAACTACTCCCTAAGACTCCCTTGACTTTGCTGTCTCATCATGTGCGTTTCCGAACTTTTGACGCGAGGTCAGCGCAGACTTGAAGTGTAGTTAAAGTCAAGGCAGGACTGCAAACAGTTTTCCTCTGCGCTGAAGATGCATCAAATGTCAGGAGCTCCGTGCAATCCTGAACCAGCATGGTCTCGAGGATTTACTGGAGGAGGAACCAACAAGCGTAGCCGAGGACTGCAGCAGCTACTCCAAAAGCCCAGGCTGTTGTAAAGATGTCTAATCTAAGTCTGAAGCGACAACGTGTTGGCAAGCTCTACTTGTGACACTATGAGGGCCATGCTGCCGAGGATTTAGAGAACCACTACATAGCTGTGCGCTGATGAATATTCAGCGTGGGCTTGCAAAGGTTACATCAGGGCCTTGGTCTGGCCCAAGTTATCTCAGGGAAGGCTGTGCAGGCTTGCGTGGCAGATGGACATAGGTGCTTGCCATTGCATCTTGCGGATGAAAGCTGCACCACCTCCGCATCCTGCATCCCTGCAAGGTTTAGGTTTTAATCACTTTCTTTTGGGTAGAGGCAAGCCCCATTCACGATGATCGGGCAGGAGCTACGCCAGGGTTCTTCACTTGGCTGGCTTGCATACCTGGAGAGCCTGCTTCCCAGCAACCCACCGAGGGGATGGTGGATGTTTAGAATCTATTGTCTTTCGCCCAGGCATAAGCCCCGTCACATTGTCCTCTCGCTTCGACATGCCGGCTCCCTGAGGGCTGCATTCTTGCTCTTGTCAGTAGTTTTAAGTTGACATTCGGGCGGGCAGTAGAACAAGATGCTGATGAGTGGAACGGGTTCCAATGGTAGCCCAAATGATTGTGGATTACAGGAGATAATATAAGAGCTTCTGAAAACGGAGGACCTCTAGGCACCCCAGACATATTTTAGGGACTGTTAGGGACTACAAGGGATCATGGGGATCCCTATCAGGGCTTCACGGGGACAACTTTGTCTGACCTTGCTGCAGGTTGACATAACAGAGTTTGGAGTTTTGAAGCCTGAATACTTGTAAATTCTACCCCTAATCCTTTTATACATGTACTATATTGGCCTGGACCCAACACCTCATTGGAATTTTCTCTGTCCTACATAAGACATAAGATGCCTTCAGAGGGCATACTATCTTGGAGGGTACGGGGGCTTAGTCAGTACATTTATAACCCGGGCAACTAGTAATCCCCATTATTCACCTATGTACTAAGCCCCCTGAGCCTCCAAGTAAAACCTAAAACCCAAACTCCCAATAAATTCTATGTAAACACAGTCCACTACATGTTCCATGTTCTTTTGTATTTGACTCTCCACTATTAGAATATGTCCTTGTATGTCCTTGTGTAGCCCCTACAGATCCCCATATTTATACTTAAATATATATATGTATATATATATATATGTCTCTCTCTCTCTCTCTCTCCCTAATATGACCCGTGTTTCACATACGTCCCTATATTTTAAGCATCTACTCCAAAGCTTAGGTCGGAGCTCGTGGACACTCTGCAGGCTCTGGGCAAAAATTGAGGTTAAGGTTCGAACGCATGAAGCTTCAAAAGAGGCCTGAGGGAGTCGAGGAGATACTGGGGCAACATAGTCGAATTATTGAAAGGGCCCCAAAACAGGGAGTATTCATTCTTAGACACTCCCCACTAGAGGTTGCATTTACGGTTATCATGCCATGAGAGTTTTCTTGGGGCCCTGCTCAAGACAACTGGCATCATCATAGGCTTGTTACTGTCCGATTTTACCTTGCGAGTTATTGCATCAGTGCTCAATGTAGCAAACAAGTCAGATGCAGCAGTGCGGGCCGGCCCCTGCCCAGTCCCTGTCTCAAATTGCCTTCGACCGCTTGGTCGACGAGTTGGGGCCGATGAAGAGGCCGCGTGCCGTCCATGCTACTTCAGGAAGAGGTTGGTGAGTTTCTCAAAGGAACCCCATATAATTCCCAGTGAGGACGCTGTAAGCCCCCTGAGAGTCCCCGTATATCCCAGGGTGCCTCAGGCCACCTATGTTGAGAAACCCGTGCTTGACCTCACGCGATCCCTTGCTGAAATGTTGGCTGCTTTGGCCGTATGCATAATACGAGTATGGAATGATATTTGTGAAAACTGACCCTGTCGTACTGGGTGCCCTTTGGCCCGAACGCAGTGGGCCTTTCCGCTCTCTGCTTGCAAGGAAGCATGATCCAACCCTTCCTAGCCACCACCGTGGACCATACCCCTCAAAGCTGCATCAAAGGTGGGTGCCGGAAGGTAGCCGTCTTTTTGTGGCTCCAGCTCCCGCCGCTGAGCTGCTTTTGCTATGAAGATGGGTGCAACTTTGCGTTTCCTGATGTTCTTGCATTCTGCAATATTGAGGGGCACGCAGGGACCATGTCCTTCCAGGGTTGGTGTGCCCAGTGGTCATCAGGCATTTGCTATGTTGCCCTGAAGTGCTTCCAGCTTCTGTGGATCGACTTCAGGCAAAAGAAGGTTTCTTGACCTGCCTCCCAAGTCGCTGCATTGTGTTAATGGCATGAGCGGGAGGTATTTCTTCTTCTGTAAACTCTCATCCTGTCCATTCTCTTGTTATGAGGGGGGTATGATGGGTGGGCTCCGCTCCCGCTAGCAGTTTGGGATATGCTGATAACCTGAAGTCCGCAGCGGTGAGTCCTTATGCTTCCGAGGGGCCCAGTTGAAAGGATCATATTCCGGTACCAAATTCCTGCAAGGGTTGAGGTGCCCCCTAAACTCCAAACCAGCCCTCAGCCATGACAAAACAAAAAAACGTTTGAGACTCATTCCGTCATGCCAACAGTTGATTTTCATATTCGCTTTTAAACATGAGCTCTATTACAGACTGTTATTGGGTGGAGGCTGCAGCTAAAGCCCTAAAACCCCAAACCCTTCTCCCAGCCCTAAACCCTGAACCTTTGCAGAGTCTGAGGCCCCGCCCCCGACCATGGCCCCTTCTGAAGCCGAGCGGCCCTTCTCAGCGGCCGGGCAGGCCCTTTAATGGGGATTACATAGGATCATCATAGGGTTTCTATAGGCGTTTATAGGGTCTTAGGGTTTACAGGGAGATACTTGGAGAAGATGGAGAGTGAAGAGCTGGAAACTGGGATAGTATAGAGGTTTGGGAGAGGGTAAGCAGATTGGAAGTTGTTCAGAGCAAAGGTCAGTGGAAACCATGGGAATATGACCCCTGCATAGTCCTTGTAGTACATATTCCCTTCTTCCCCACTAGCTAACAGCATAATACCCCTTAAGTAGATAGAATATGGGGTAGATGGGGATCTTATTATAATATACCCGAAACCATATTCTATCTACTTAAGGGGGACTATAAGTTAAGCCAGGCCGCAAGAAGGCCGTCAGGAGCGCAAGGGGAGTCCGGGCCTGAGCCAGGCTCCAGCTTTTGCTGCTATTGACACCCAAACAAAAATGACAATTTCCAAAAGCCATGGACCCCTTTAAAGGTGCTATGGGAATTAAACGGTGAATATCGGGGCATATAGGGTTTAGGCCTCAGAGTTTACAGGGTCCTCCTTTGGGGGTCCCTCCGATGCAGCGAGGTTATACTTCGGTATCTACAGGGGGATCCCCATTTTCTAGCACCACATGTAACACAATAGGGAGCCCTTCTTAAAAACAGTTATCAATCCCCACGGATACACTGCCCACCGGCGCAATTTCCTCCCACAGCCTGGCAGTCAGAGCAGTCACACTGCTTTGTCATGTGTTTGTTTTGAAAGTGCTCACTCCCTTCAATTGGAGAATCACGCAAGGGGTCTTCGCATGAGGTCCTGGAATGCCGACATGCAGGAAGCGTCTTGGGAGGCGGTCTGGGACGACCTGAGATTCTTAGACCCCCAAACGACAGACAGGGTTGGAGTTTTTCTCGAGAATCTTCAGCGGGCTAAGGCTCTAAGAGAGACACAGGAAGATTCTCTCCGGGCATGCGGGCTTGCAAATTGGGATCAAGCCTGTTCTGGCCCTCGATTGAGATCAGACAAAAAGGCAGAGCTTTCCTGAACAATCGTCCCATTCCCGACTCTGGGGCGGCTATGTCTTCCTAGGTTTCTCCTTCAAGATTACCCGCGTGGACCTGCAAACGCACCATTTCCTTGGGATTGAATCATAAGAAGAGTCAGCAATTCTGTGTGAGCCATGGCGCATAAGTCGGCTCGATTCAACTTGAGGTATTAAAAACATTGCGTCCTCCCCCGCTCTCTGTTAGGTCACAAGGAGCCGGCTGAAAAATTCAAGTGATCTGTTTCAATCAGGTCGATGACAGGGAATTGTGGGTTTGACCTGCATAGTGATTGAGGACCATCATCATAACAAGAGTATATTGTTTGGGCGTATGGTACAGGGACACTTAGAAACTGTTGAACGATTTCTTCTCTGGCCGTCCTCAGTATATTGCTTCTAAATTGGGTGCTCAACCAACCAATTAGCAGTCACCACAGGCT